TTCTTAAACAATAATTTTTTAAATACAAAGGACTACTTTTATCACCCGAATATCGTAAATCAATTTTTAATTGGCGAAACTGTGCTGAACTGTATTGAAAGCTACTCCTCCTCCGATTTCGATGATTTTTGGATATTGTTACGACCGTTCGCGGAGAGACGCGGTCGTGAGGAAAACGCGTTAGCGAGAGGCGTAAATTCTCGCTACGATTCGTTGAATCGACGCCGCGAAGTAGTCGTTCCCCTGTTTCGGTTAAGATAACAGAGGTGGTTGAATGAGTAAGACACAGTAGTAAGTTATATTTCACCGTTTATTCCACTAACTTATAACGTAGGTAGTTACACTGGTGCATATGTACGAGATGAATGAGTGACTGATCTGCGGGTGTGTATACCCGCTCGAAGGATGTTGACCGTTCGAAGGATCTGAAATCAGTACTGTCTTGGGAGACGATGCTGTCTCGGAGGAAAGCTAAGGATGGGTGTGTCTAGCGCACGGGGCCATCGGATTTGTTGGTGCCGATGTTAGTTAAGAGAGTGAGGGCATAGCCTTCGTTGTTAATTGGTTAAACGAAGGGTCTTAACCGCCCTCGAGAGAAAGTGGTTAGTGGGAGGAAAGTTGCAGCGTACGTGAGAAAAAATAACTTTCCCTTGTCACGCCGTGGTAGACAATGGTCTTTGGAAATACTTCGGAAACAGATGTTTGTTCGGTTTGAAGGACCTTTTCTAGGAAATCTATGAGATTTATGGCAGGGACTTAAAACTATGGAGGATACACTGCGAGTATCCGAGGACATCTGGTTGCCATATTGCCCGCGGTGTGGTCTGGGCCAGGTAGAGTGTTACGCGACGTAACACAAACCAATATATTTTTTTTTACTTAATTAGCACTTTACAATTTGTCCAGCTGGATATTCAGTAAATTTTTCTAACTTTATCGCTAATTAACATGTGGATGGCTATGTTGTATCTTTTGGGTATCTCTTGACTTCTTCTTTAACCTTTGGTAGTTTTAGGCTTTTGCGTATATCCTTGTTTCTGACATACCATGGGGCGTTGACTACTGTTTTTGAGTATTTTCGATTGTAACGACTCTAGTTTATTTATGTGGGTTGTTTACGGGTGTGTGGCCTAGGCTAGGTAGAGTGTTACGCGACGTAACAGATATGTTGTAGAAATCAACATTTTGAACAACTTTTTCCTCTAACTATCGGCCGGCCACAGTTTCCGAAAATATTCACAATAAACTATCGATATTACTACAGTGTATTGTGCCTATAATTGTAATGTTAATTGCCGACATAGAAATATAAAGACAGAGTATATAGCGAGTTATATTTTTTTTTTTTAATTTCATATTCACAATTTGTTCAATTTGGACATTTGGTAGAATTTTTTATCTGTTTGATTATCATGTGGGTGGCCACCCCCAATGGGACACCATCTTCGTGTTTGCTAAGATATATCCTTTGTGAGATCTGCTGGGTGTTTCCTTTTTAGTCTTCTTTCTATGGTTGTGTTGATCGTTTCCGCTACCCGGTTCGGGTGCGTTGCTATTCTTTCTCTGTACCTTCTTGTGAATCTGCTAATCTCTTCCTCACCGATGGTATTCCAAGATCTTTCCGTATGTCCTCATTTCTAACGTACCATGGGGCGTTTACAATTGATCTAAGAATTTTAGCTTGGATTGTCTCTATTTTACTTATATGGCTCATTGTTGCTGTTCCCCAAAGTGGTATTCCGTACGTCCAAATTGGTTTTATGATCATTTTGTATATTTTTAATTTATTTTCTATACTTAGTTTGGATTTTTGACTTGTCAGCCAATGCATTTGCCTCCTTGCGGCCTGTATTTTGTCTGTTATTTGATATGCTGTTTCCATTCCTTGCTAATTGTATTTTGTCTATTATAGATTTAATATGCTGTTTCTATGTGAATCGTGTATCTAAGTGGAGTCCTAGGTATTTGACTTGCCTTGTTTGTATTATGTGCGTGCCGTTCAGTATAATGTTTGGAGGTATCTGTTTTCGCAGTGTGAATGTAACGTGGTTGCATTTATCGGGGTTTGCTTTAATTTGTTTAACTTGAAGCCACTTTTCTATTTTTGTGATATGATATGTTCTTGTAGTGATGTGACTGCTGTTGCAGGGTCAGTGTGCCTGACTAGTACGGCTGTGTCGTCCGCGAATGTCAGTATCTTGCTATTAGTAGTTGTTGGTATGTTGGCCATGTATAGTGTGTGTAGAATTGATCCTAAGACGCTTCCTTGCGGAACCCCTGCCTTGATGTCTTTAACTTCAGAGTATGTGTCTTTAATTTTTACTACGAAGGTTCTGCTGCTTAAGTAGGATTTAATTAAATGGTATATCTGCTTCGAGAATTGTTTTCTGATTGATTGAAGTAGGACTTTCGTGGTTTATTTTGTCAAATGCTTTCTCGATGTCCATAAAGAGTAGAGTGCAATATTGTTTGTTTTCTAATGCTAGAATTATTTCATTTTAAGTCTGTGCATTTGCTTTATCGTGGAGTGTTTGTTTCAGAATCCAAATTGGTGATCTGGTATTGATTTTTCTTTCTCTATTATTGGTTTTAAACGGGCGTAAATTATTTTTTCTAGTATTTTGGAAAACACGGGAAGTAGTGATATTGGTCTGTATGATGTTGTTTGGTGTGGGTCTTTGCCTGGTTTGGGTAACATTATGATCTGAGCTAGTTTCCATAGTTTAGGATAGTATTAGATTCTTAATATTACATTGTAAATTATTGTGATTAGTCGTATCGCTTTTGGAGGAAGGTTTTTCAAGATTTTACCATTGATTAGGTCGATCCCTGGTGCTTTATTGTTTTTTGTTTTCTCGATTATGATTCTAATTTCTTGTGCTGTTGTTTTAGGTATGATATAGTGTTTGTCAGTTGAGGTACTAGTGGTTAACGCATCCTCATCGGTATGACAATTGTGGTTGCTATTATTGATGTTATGTGGTGTAAATATGTTGCTTAGGTGGTTGGAAAATTCTTCAGCTTGTTCTTCGTTGCTTCTTGCCCATGTATCATCTGCTTTTCTGATTGCTGGGACTAGTTTTATTAGCTTCTTCATTTTTTTTTTGTGGCTTTCCATAGGGAATAGTTGGAGTTCTCGTGCGCAAATAGTGACTCTATGAATTTTGTTTTTAATTTCCTTTGCAAGTTTATTTAGGTGTTTTTTATTTTCTTTTGATCTATGTTTTTGTCATTGTGCTTTCGCTTTTCTTTTCTCTCTAATTTTTTCAAGAATGTCTGGCGGGATTATTTTTGTTCGTCTATAGTTGATTCAGGTATGGTGGTTGCCCATGCTGCTTCCTGAATAGTTTCTGTAAGTGTTGTTACTGCTTGTTCGGTGTGTTCAGGTGTTTTCAATGGGATGTTACAATTGATTTTGTTCTCAATTATTTCTTTAAATGTTTGCCAATTGGTGGTATTATTGCATAGTGTCTCTGAATTGTTATAAAGTAATAGCGAGTTATATGTTACCGTGTAAGTGGATGCGATATAGGAATAGAAACAGAATGTCGCATGGGTGGCCCCTTCTGTCCTTGTCTAATCAGACATGTACACTGATGCCGCTTGTTGATCTGCGTTACATACTTACATATTTACTGTACGAATGTGCATGCATTATTAAACAAGGACACAAGCTTCTATGCAGCGTTCTCTCTTTATTCCTATATCGTTCTTTTAGCTCGTTCATGCGTCATTATGATTGTCGACTGCCTTGCGGCAGCCGGATTTATAACCTAACTTCTATCTTTTGTTTATATATAGTACATATGTACAAACGAAGGTTGGACGAGCTTGAATATTCCACGGATCCTTCGAATTACGACACCGTGCACGACTGCATATTAAAAATGATTATCATTAATGGTCTAGGTTAGATTTTTGGATTAGTCTTTTAAATCCGTTGTGAGGCCATAGATTTAGTTAATGAATAACAACATAATTGAAATTTATATTAAACTTTATTTTTTATTGCTCTGAAATTTGAAATATTTTAACTATGATCAAAGAATTTAATTATTCGGTTGTCAAAATCGTGTTATCGTAGACTTTTCTTGTAGCCTCGCATGTGCAATTGTGGACGATTATTTAGATTTGTAAAGCATGGCACAAAGATATAGAGATCAATGGCTGTTGGATGTAAACAGATCGTCTAACATTTTTCATCAAACTCATTATTCGCGTCTCAGTTATTTGTATTATTGAGATTTTACACAAGTTACGAATGTTGCTCATTCCTACTTTCGATCATTATTTAGATTAAGGTCCTTCTCTCTCCGATTTTAATGATTTTCGAATCTGTTGTCGGCACTATGATTCTCAACAACTTTTTCCTATACGTATAATCGCCGCCCTGTAGACCATCGACGTCTTTATGAAGATTTCATGAAAAGTATGGGTATGTATACATACATATTATTGACATTTTATACGAGTTACGAATGTTTTACATTCTTACTCGTACTTTCACTCATTAGCTTTTTTTTCGATCGTCTGTGTAATCGTGTGAAATGACAAATGAACGGCGAATTAAAGGAACAACAATGTTGTGGATCTTAAGTTTCCTAATGAAAGCATAGTTGACAAATCTCATCCTAGAACGTGGTTGCCACATTTCGATTATTGTTCTACGCTCGTCAGAATAAAGTCCGATAGAATAGCTATGGCAGTGTTACGGTTTCATAGAGGTAACACTATGCGACCCAGTAACTTTATGTTTTCAATAGTAAGATGGCACGATATTTTTATCTTTTTGCAAGTTAACATACGTTCTGATTTTAAAACTACTGGTCTTATTTTCTACATCTTTCCAATACTTATATCAGTCAATCGAAACTTTTTTGTGTAAAATCATCATGTCTCTTTCTACACATGAAAGAACTACTCGCTTTTTTACGTTTTTATGCGTATTTTTAACAAACGGTCTTTCGAAGTTCTTTATGTAAGGCATAAATGCCTTCCCTGAATAAATCCCTGATGAGGCATTGGGTGCTTAACATAAATTTATGTTAGTACATAAATGTATGGCATAAAACAATAAATATATATCTATTAATAATAGGAAAAAGTAGTACGAAAATTATTTATTTGCCTACAATGATATTAATAGTAATAACAGTTAATTTAATGGGCATATTTAAATGACAGTATATGCGCGATTTAAATGGCTGAAGTTGTGCAGGATCTGCTGGATTTCTGCGGCCTTCCTGCCGTCTAATTACGCTGCGCAGAGTTTGTTACATTCTGCTGCCAATCTGCACGCAAATGGTCATCAGTATATTTATTAGGCTAGTTAGTGTTTTATTGGAGAATGTAATAACGAATACAAAATACACGATACAGTTTATATTTTACAATTTTATAATTTTATATTCGCTGCTTTGTACCAAAGAAAACGAATAATGAAGAAACAAGATATAAATAGAAAGAAAAAATAGAAGATGATAGGAGCTAAACTAAGTAAGACGATACTAGAACTATATGGAAGATAAGGAAATAAGACTATTTCGACACGATAGCTTAAGAAGGGAAATACATTGAATCTTTTATACGGGTTAAATTTATTCGAAAAAAGAAATAGAATAGTTTATTGGACGGAATGGTCGAACTGAGCGCTACGTAGTTCATGACCGATATCTTGTCCGCGTTGACTCGGCCATCTGACAAGTGCGTGTCCCATAGTTGCAGAGTTTTACGTGGTCGAAGTTGTGTAAGATAGCTGTATCTGGAAGTTTAACGTAAAAGTATGTTGATCGTAGATTAAGGTAAATATATTCTAGTTGTCATATTGGTTATACATTATACTGGCTTGTTTCCTTCACTAAAAATTGCCAACGAACATAAGTGTTGCAGCTCGAGAAGTGGACTGTGGCGAATAACGACGAATAGCAGGAGGACTAAAGAAGAAGGAAAAAAGCGTTTAATCGCTGATAATGAGGAAATGGTGAGAAGGCGAATTGCGTAGTAGAAATGCGTAAATAAAATAAGGGCATATGAAATCTAGATGTGTGAAAGATTAAGAATGGAACATAGTAGCGATGTTGATTTAGTGTAGGAGTTTCCGGAAACATGGGTTAGTTTTGTGGAAATTGTAAAATATGTAAAAAGATTGTAGGTTAGATGTGTGAAAGTTGAAAGAAGTAAGAAGGGAATAAAAAGAGAGTATAAAATGATAATAGTTACTACGTAAGATAATATAATTTTGTGGATGGTAGAAGAATGGATTTATTTGGGTTTTAGGAGATTAAAGAATAAATAAAGATACATTTAGAAAATATATGTGAGTTTTTCATTTGATTATTGATCATAAATTGTAAAATTAGGATTGAAATATAGTTGGTATATAGAATATAAATATAAATATGAATATAAGAAATATGTAGTTGTAAAATATGTGGATAATGGAATAGAATGCTATTAGGTAGTAATTATAATCTGAAAATATATTAGTAAAAACTAATACGGTTGGAATTTTGTAATTACAGGGATACTATATGGAAAGTGATTAATGTTAAATAAATTCTATTTAAAGGAACGAAAGGTATTAGTAATAAAATATAAGGATATTATTAAAGATAGTAATTATATAATTATAGGAAATGTGATGGTAAGTATGGTGGGTTGTAAGTGTGGATGAGATTTATGGCTTGGTACCCAGATAGAAAGGAAAGGAAAATGAATTCACTTGGCATCCGCGTGTCTATGACAGTCTCCAGGTCCGGTAATCCACGAATGAACGTATCTATTGCGCTATCTGCTAACGGTTTAATGCTCTCATTCGTGATCTTCCCGTATTTGTCCTTGAGTACAATTTGAGTTCCGTTGATAAGAATGCGAATACGGTCGTAGAAATTACCGACGGTTTCATTATGGCACATACACCCCCTAGTTATTTCACGTTGATAATACAGATACGTTTTATCGACTGCGAATTGATCTTTGAAATGTTTAATCAGTTCGTTATCGGTGTAAAGTATATCTGTAAATGCTATAGTGGGCATGATTCTACAGTTTAGATAATACTGCATTTACGAACAAACCTTGCAGTTCTTTAGGAATATGTTGCCATTCTTAATGTTTTGCAGAAAATCTTCCAAGGCATACTCGATCCATCGAAATATGGAATGTTAACGATCGTGTGCTGATGTCTGAAGCACTCAGTTATCGATGACATTACCATGTCGTTATTATTATTAGTAGTATTATCAATCCCTTGCCATACTTTGATGAATCTGAGTCGTATGAGAATTTTGAGCCAAACCTAAATATCACGAGTCAGGTTCGTGGTCTTAATCTCGGGCCAAGTATGAATGTCTTGAATGGGGTCTTTTGTTCCAATGTGCTACTTAGGAGATATTTTCGTGGCGCAGATAACAGCTAAAAGCTAAACAAACATAGGCACTCGGAGAGACCAAGAAAGCTTCAATCGTTCTTCAATTCTTGCCATTCCATTGCATGAGTTGCACACGTTTTTTACGTTTGCTCTACGAAATGTAATATTCTTACGATCTTCTTTTTTTGTCAAACCCTCCATCATGTTTAAGAAAAGGAGTGAGATTACCAAAAAAGCAAGTAATTCATGTGGAAGTAAGAGTAATGGAAGGGCTTTTCATGTTTCAAGATTTCAAATGATGGATATTGAAAGAATTACAAGCAGTGACGAAGATTCTAATGACAGCAACGTGATTATGCCAGTGAGGAATCTCGCGAGAAGATTTGTGACGGATGAAAAGAGAGAGAGAGAGTGCGTTTCGTCCCGGGACTACCGGTGGACTCGTCAGTAAGGCTATGCCCGGTAGTCCCTGCCTTAGACGTAGAGGGAGTCTCGCTAGGTGCGGTATTTGTATCAATCACTCGTATATTCGACCGCTAGCGAGATAGACAGACAAACTCGTTGTCGTCGTAGCCCTCTAATGTTGGCGGTTGGTACCCGCGGCTCGACCTGTCGGCGTCCTATTGATACCGATCCGCCACAGATTCATTATAGATGACAGTAGTGAAGAAGAAAATACAAAATCTGAATTGAGTGTTGAATGGGACTGGAAGGAAACTGATAATACACCAATAATTTGGAAATATTTGTGGGACATATTAATTACGCAACAAATCTTTACGCCCATCAAATAATAAACAATGAGATAAAAAGGAAAGTGGATGATGCTTGGTTTCCAGTTACCCACGACGAAATGATGGCCTATTATGCGCTTTGTATTTTGATGACACAAGTCAAAAAACCAAATATACAAATATATTGGCCTAAACGAGAAGTCATACAGATACCTATATTTGAAAAAGTAATGCCTTTCAAAAGATTTTGCATTTCTCGAATAATGAAGCGAATTGCAGCAACGATCGCCTTCAAAAGATAAAACCAATCATTACTTACTGGAACGAAAAATTTAATAACATTTACACGCCGGGTAAAAATATAAGCATCGATGAGTCATTAATGCGATAGTCGAACTCGAAGATGGTATTCCGCTGGGGGTAGCCATCCACATGTTATTTAGCAATTAAGTTAGAAAAATTTACCAAATGTCCAGCTGGGAAAATTGTAAAGTACAAATTAAATAATAATAAAAAAATTTTTTACTTTTGTATAACCGTAAGCTGAAAAAAGCTGTTACGCAAAGAGTAGAATTTAGTGAAACAAAAAATTATTCTAAATAAGGAGAGATCCATGTTATTGTGCCCTTGAATATAAATAATGTTTTGGGTTACAAGGTCCAGAAACAAAGAAGCTATCAATAGATTTCTATTGCTATTTCTTGTAGCCTTTAGCTAGAGCTTTACTTCAATATATATTTCTATTACAAATTTATCCACGCGTTTCTCTATCAGATAACCTCAATAGTCCAGAAGCACTTTTTCGGATGACAATATTATGATAACTACGTTAAACAGAAGATTTCATTACATTATCAGCCAGCCCTAATAATTTCATAACTAATAATTCTTTAAATTTTCTGATATTCGTATTCTTCTTTGTTGTAATCTTGTAGACTATTAAAGCGTTTACAACTGTAATTTCCAGAAGAAGTTGAATGCCAAGTTTGCGGCACCGTTTGAGTCCTTTTATTTTTTTAAATATATTTTTCTATTACAAATGCATCCCTCCCTTCTTCTATCAGTCAACCTCAACAGTATTATTACTTATACAAGATTTACTGTAATATATATGCTGTAATAATAATATGTCCTAATTAAAATATTTTTTAAAATATTCATTTGAATTCCACAAGAGCACCATCGTGTGAAGTTAACATGGGCGCGGCTTCTCGCACTCAGTCGAAGATATGTTTCCAGTTCCGACACTCTGTCTCCGCCGCTTCAGCTTCTTTCCCAACCATTCGAGCGCATTGCTTGAGTCCAGATTCTTCCGAGTTAAATTTGTTAAAAGTATGGCAAGGAGATATTAAAGCACCGGTCGCGTTTGCACTTGCGACATTTTGGTAAACCATTTTATCTTATCGTGTCGGGAGATTCAAGTATGTCATAAGACAGTTAATGTGCAAATTAATGCTAATTGAGAGAAAGAAAGAGCAAATTTGAAGAGTTGAAAAATTTAGAACGATTCAGATATAGAGTGAATATATATTGTTGAAGTGGGTCTCACTTCAAGGAAAACTCCACATCTTTTCTAATGTTTAGTTTTTCTAGTCCTCAAAGCCAGTGAGTATTATTTAGCAGTAAATCAATTTGATGAGGCCTAACGAACATCCTGCAACCCATCGAAACAACAACGTAGACAGTGTCCCAGAGTCAGCAGCCAGTAAGGGTATGACTATCTCTGATTCTGGGACTCGGCGACATCCCCTCCAAAAGAGCCAAACACATAGTATATATGCCTAACCCCAAAATCAGCTCTCGACACTCTGTTCTAACATTCTTAACCGTGATTCTGCTGAATTCACATAACAAATTTTGCCAGCATATCTAAAGTCTGAATTTTTCTTATCTTGTTCGTGAAACGTTTAATCCTACGCGAAATCATTCGAACGACGCGAGGAAGTGACTTCTTAATCAAAGTAATTTCTTAATTTCATCACTCTCCGTGTCTTCGATGTGACACCAGCGTGCGGATCTGGATTAGCATACACATTGTACTAATACTTAAACTTACTGAAATATATTTCTGTTATACATTCATCCACGCATTTCCTCTCTCTCTCTCTCTCTCTCTCTCTGTTTATCTGTACGAAAAGAATGTACGAAAACCAAGAATCATTTTCATATGTATATTTGTACACTTTTATGTGTATATGTGAAACTTCATGAAATTTTATGTGTATATGTTATGTATTGATCGAAATTTTCAAATTTTTGTTCTATGCTTTTACGAATAGACCGTGGAAGTTTGTATACTTACATATATGAAATTTAGATGTGTTGGAATGCTGAGAATGTGCATAAAATATGTAAGGTATTTAGAATAAAGTACTGCTTATAAATAATTAATAATAAAAGAATAATTTCACGAGAATTCTTCACACGTAAAACAGTGTGCAAATTATCTATGGCATTGTGATCGATCTAAATGAAAAAGCTGACATCTCCTACAATTGACGTTTCAATGTAAAGAAGGTACGAAAGTATCCACTGTAGCGTAAACGTAACAGATTTTATATGAAAATTCCTTAAGTTGGTCTTTTGGTAAAGCTTGCGAATTATAGTAAAATAAGTCATTGGAAGGAAAATTTAAAATGCAGATTTTTTTTTTGAAATATTACGAGGTAAAACCTTAACATATAAAGATCGGGTTATCCCATCGCAGCCACCAATTCGGTTGTGACTGGCGGGCGTATATTGTACATGCATGTCACTTATGTAACTACCCATTTGAGCAGATAGAGAGCGTTCTGTACTGAAGCTTCGAGCAGAAGTGAAACTTCGAGAAACGATTAGGGATGGGTCGCAAAATTTCTTTTTGAGCTGGAGGAAGGGAACCACCTTCGACGAGGTACTGCACGTAGGGAAACATTACGCCAAACTTATCTTCTTCGGAAATATCAAATTTACGATACCTTCTGTTTTTGTCACACGAAGTGCATAGAGAATCTAAAAGTATTGTTCGAAAATACTGAAGAGCTGCGACCAAGCTAATTGGTCCGACTCAAAAGTAACCTCTTGTATTCGAACATGAATTAGAAAAATACCTATGAATATTTTCACATTTTTGTTTCATCGCATCGGTCGGAACAAAGCTTTCAGGGTAAATTAGAATATTTAGAGTAAGAGGAAAGGCATTGTTTTATTTTAGAATTGAACAGTATGTTTAATTTTGAAATTATTCTTTTGTCCTCCTAGGTTAATTATACAAGCATTTAATAAATGTAGTCTTGATTCTATTACTGGTTCTTTGAGCTTACAAATTACGGACATGAGATATTAATTGCATTTTCACCGATTTTATGTATGTACAGAGAGTCAAATAAATATTATATAAGATATGTCATGTCTTTGACAAATGATACTATACCTTCAGATCATTGGAGATTTGTTAGAAAAGCCTATCGCAAAATTGACTTTGATCTTAAATTTCAAGATCAAAACTACAAAATAACACAAATAATAAGTGTTTCTTGAGTTGGTTTTTGGCATAAGTAATTTAATTCTTTAATAGATGGAATACTGAGATGCATCGACCAACGTATAAAGAAACGTTATTCTATTTATGAATAAGTACTTCACCTTCATATATCCTTCACGTGTTTATCTGAGAAAAAATTAATAACATCAAATCGTGCTTTCTTCGATGCCATTAAACTCTTGCGTGAAAAGTTTCTTCATATAGTAAGCAATCTTGCAACAATGTAAGATCATGAATTTAAGTGCTTTATTCTATTTAAGATGGACTATCTCACGCGCTAAGAAATAATTTGCTGTTTCCTAATTAACATCAAGATACTTACTTTCTATCTAACTGTGAAACGTAAACATATTGTAAATAATGTCCATGCAATGCATTCATCAGTAAATGAAGCTTTAAAATTATTTTACAATACAGCGATTGATTTGGGATTCATGATTTTTTTAAAACTTCTTTTCCTCATGACGAGGTGCTACACGCTATAATAAAAAAATTTGACTTTAAAATTCACCTTATTTGGATAAACTTCCGAATGTTATCAAACGCCAATCTAAACAAAATTTGATGAGAATCATTATATGAGATAATATACTTCAAATATAAAATGTTATGTTCCGAATATATAGAGCCCTATATAATAACAGATTTGTTAGCTGCCATTAGGTAGCGTCGGCGACAGTATTTCCGACCGTGATTTATCTAATGCAATCCAATTCTGATATCTCTCTTTAAAAAGAGTGGGTCGTTTTTTTCTGTCCATTGAACGTTTTTGAGCTTAAATATTTACGCACATATTTGTCCCTCAGCCATATGTATAATTCATACTCACATAGTTATATTAATTACCGAAAATTCCATTTAACAGCTGTAAATATCTATTATATATTGGATCTTATATCTTCTGGACGTATGATTTCCCCATAAGATAAGATTTTATATTTCAGATCTACTATCTCATCCTATGATATCCACCATATTTCGTCTTGATCGACTATCGGTATTCGGAACTACAACTCTTTTTCCAATAGTTCTTCGTCGATCTGAAAGTGTAGAATCATGTGTAAAAGCCATAACATATGTTTGTTAAACACCCTGTACCAAGTTTTCCCCGATATTATACAGTAATGTGATGAGTTTAGATCATTCTCTTGTTAATCAATCGATTGAAATTTTTTTGTTTGGTATAACATGGTTCAAAGAGAGCTTTAAGATAGTCATTGTAAATTTTTTATTAATTCGTCTTTTTTCGAGTTTTCAAGGCTATTTCTAGTTTCTTATAGATAAGCCTATTATCTTTTTACACTTATCATAACAAATATTATGCAATATATTCTTGCATATGCTGTCAAATATAAATATGTATAACATATGCATTGTGCAAAAAATGAAAATAAAAAATATATTTTTAGAATTCTGAAACCATGAAACACATTTCTATCGAGGTTGCATTGTTTTACCTGCTTTCTATAAAAATATGTATATGTATATACATCCGCTATTTTAATAATAATAATTACTAAAGGAAATAATGCCGTGTTTTCAACACACAAAGATATTCAGAGACGTAGCACATAGTGACATGTTTAGAAAAATTAGAAGTGGTTGCTTACAAACGTAACGTTAAAAGCTCACGTTTTCTCACAACTTCTCATTAAAATTTTCGTCAAAATAGAACGCAAGGGCAAGAATACGTTATTTGTATACGTCAGGTCATACTTTTTGACCAGTTAAAGATAAGATATTATTCGCAAAATAGTTCCATGTTTGGCATGAGGCAAATTACTATTGCAGATTGTACAGGAAAGAGCTGCTGACTGTGGTACACGCATAGGAGAAGTGCCTGGAATACTCAGCGTTTAGCAAGGGCTCGATGACGGAAACTCGATGGAGGATGGATGTTGATGCGAATAAACAAACTGCACGTTTCAAATATATTGACCACACAACATAACTTAGGCAGCAGCATGAGGACAAAACGAATGTTCTATAAAATCTCTTCCACAATCTAACAGACTAAATCTCCTAAGTACGAAAGTTGTATCGCAGGGAAAGTGAAAGAAAATCCACAATTAAATGTACCAAGACTAGCGGAAATGAAGAACCGTAGAAAACTTAAATCTAAAGGTCTTAGAACTGTTACGAGAAAGATGTAAAAAGTGCTAGTACAAAGAATTCAGAGAATGTTTAAGACTAGCTGGGTACAGTGACTGGTAGAGTAGCCAAGAATGAACTCTTTATTTATAAGGTAAATGGGAGAAAACGAATAAACTTCACAAAGGAGTTAATTTTTATGGCTAAATCGAGTTGGAAAGATGTGACGTCTGTGAACGAAGGCAACTTTAATATCCATAATTTTGATACAAGAACTAAAGTTGTGGACTTTTTATTTGAAAAGAAAATAATGAATTAATAGATCAAAAAATTATTCCAGACGAGATAAATAAATATATTCGAATATTGTCGAAAAGCGATAGTTTCCATATAGGCTATACACAGTTGAACTTATTTTACGTATTTTTAGAGTCACAAGTTTGTTTCGTCAGAAGTTCGTTACTTTTATTTATTATTTACATGTAATAAAATATTTTCAAGTTTAGTTCACATGTGTTGGTTGGTGATCATCAATCAATTCTAGTCAACAGGATGTGAGTCGAGATGATCATGAGAAATAGGAAACTAGATGTAAGACAAGTGCTCGTGATGGAGAATTTTGAGATTAGGTTGAGTGCAGAAACTTTGTGAATCAAAATAACCATGCAAGTTTATCAGGGATCTAGACATTGAAAAAAAAACAACTTTGACACATGGAAGATACAAATAGAAGCGGTGCTCATAGAAAATGACGTGTGGGATTTGGTGAACGGAAGAAAAGTGAAACCGAGCCACGATGATGCCAGAGAAACTGGCGATAGTGAAGTGAAATTCAATATAACTTTCTTGGTAAATCCTGCGAAGCATAGCTAATGTTGGATAGCATATATCAATCTCAGGCAACAGCTCAAAAAGGCATTCTGTTAAAACTTGTAATAGATGCAAAATTATGGCAATGTACGCGAACATGTACGTAAATTCTTTGATACAGTTGATAAACGTAATAGAAGTTCTCCGAAAAAGGCGAAACCGGAAAAGAGTAGGTTGCGCAATCGGGAGGATTTCAAATTTAGATGTCATCGATGCAGAGAAAAAGGTCACCTACAAAGCCAATGAATGCAAGAAAAAAACGGAAAGAGCCAATCGCTTGCGAACAGCCATAAACTGTATTGAACTGCGCGCGAATGAAGATTTTTCGGATACGAAAACAGCGAATCGAGCGGAAAGTATACGCTGCAATAATGTTTAGTGTTTGGACAGCATAACGAACATCGAATTTAGTTACCAGTGCGTCGTTTGAAATTGTTGCGAGATGAAAGGTATCATTCGCTGTCGATGTTCAAGGAGAGAAGAAAAATATGACCTTGAAAAATACGTTCGATGAAGATTCCATCTGTTGGAAAGGCCAAGTACTTTATCACATTTATCGACGATAAGTCATGATGCGAGGTAAGCTTTTTCAAACATAAAAGTGAGGCTTCTGACGCTTTTAGAATTTTAAGGTTATGGTAGAGAACCAGAAGGAGAGAAGAATAAAATATCACCGATCGGACAATGGTACCGTTTTAATTGAAACCTCCTGCCTAGAATATCCTGGAGATTTCGTTAGTACTATCGGCAATTGTCTATAACATGAGCGTGCCAAGTGCACGATTTCTTTTTGTACTGTGTGCAGTAAAAGCGATATATTTTTCTTGTTGTAATCTCTATTATATTAAAGCGATTTACAATAGTTTTAATCATCAGGTGTAGTATACTTGAACAAGGAATTCGAGCAATCTCCAAAACAATAGGGGATTCCTGCGAAGACTTGCCGTTTTGAGCGAAAGCGATTTCAGTTGCGAATTACATATGCAATTGTTGCCCAAGCAGGTAATACAAATAACATTCTATTCCTGAATTGGAATTACACCAGACGTGAGACATATAAATATAAACCTATAAGTATAAACACAAATATTGATTATTTGGGAGTTTGGATTTGTTCTCGGCCAAAAAACTAGAAAAAGAAAATTTGAGGAATATACCAAACAAGGAATACTTTCGTGCTATTCATGCCCGTGGGATACAGGGTCTGGAACCAGGAAGAGAGAAAGATAATAGCGTCAAGAGACATCTCGTTTTTGGAAACTTTTAAAGATTATGCCCTGAAAGAAATCAAACGTTGAAGCTGCGCTTGAAAATGACGAGGCTGAAAGTGAAAAGATGTAGTTGTTGAGAAATGTTAGGTTGGTATGATCGCTAGTTACTACAAGCTAAGTTGGTACGACTTCTAACGACGCTCTTTTGTCTTAGAAGTCGACCACGTGTTAATTGGCCAAGTGTATTCTGTGTGTTAAGACGTGTTGTACGAGGCGGAGAAATATATGGAGAAAATCAAATCTGTGTGAATCGATTAATTATCAACCCCAAACCCAGATCAATTAACAGTAGTATGAGTCGAGACCCCGGTCTCTTTAACCAGTTGGAGGAAAAGGCCAAAAAATATAATACCAGGAGCCATGTGTTACCACCATATGCGCGGAATTTGAAGTCGCCAATTTTAGGTAGACTATTAGGTTAGCTAGTGTTACCTATTAAGTAGGCTATTGCAGGGGAATTAGGTCGTGCAAAACATGTTCAATCCGGATGGTACTTTGGAGCTCGACTGGTGGCTCGAAGATTTGCCGAATGTCTCGGGGTCCACTTTAACGAGATTTTTCCACCAGTAACTCTTATGACCTCTATGCGCCATGTTTTGGCCATAACGGCTAGAAATGGAATGCACACCGTTTATGGATTACACACTGTTTCTGGATTACACACCGTTGTGTTGTATCTCACTTTCTCGCACTCGTCTGCATCAAAGTTCACACTCATTCTTCACACCAATCACGCACTAACTGATTCGGCGGGTCGTTCGGAATTTTTCTCTCAGTAATATAGAAAAATCTTTTCACTTTCAATAGCCATGTGTCGTCTGGTAATACTCAAACCTTTCACCAACCCTGCTCAACTGAAATAATTGTTTGCAAATAAATACCAAAATATAGTTTGAGAATATAATTCTGCCATAACTTATTTGTTTGCCAAATATTTGATTATTTCAAATAATAATAAAAGATAAAGGGTAATAAATGAATGTTTTTTCTGTATAAGAAATATACGGTACCTATTCTCATACGTGCGACATGCATCGATCGATTGTTTCAGAGGCAATCTAATCGGAAATGCAAAGCGATTCGATTGTGACGGACTAATTAACTTTCATTAAATATTTCTATTTAAAAAATATTCTTTTATTTAATAAAAATGAACAAAAACAGCTCTTTTTTCTAAATAAAAGTTAATAGTTTTTGAGGATCAATATTTAAATAATATGTTTCATTTAAGGAGGGATTTTAGGAGTTCCGGCTAGGGATTACACATCCATTTTTTAAAAATTCTTTAAGGAAATGCAAAGCTTTTTCAAAGCTTGACTCCAGAATAGCCGTTAATAGAAAGTAATTACAATTCCGTTTTTATGATAGAATTCGATTGCAAAAAATTGCAGAATCTTTATTTTGATGTATATATTGAGTATTGATAATATAATGAGTAATTAAAACAATTACTTTTACTTAAAATTTCACATTTCAAAAAATATTTTTATATTAAAGTTGTGAATTTTGATTTCGGCCACGAATATCCACTTTTTAGTCCATTCCAAATGGATTCCAATTCCAAATTGCGCAGCGGTCAGTACGAACAATGTTTTCCTATATATATAAGGAATGAACTGGCTGAGTTGAAGATATTCATGAAAAACTGTTGGCCCAACACAGTGCATCTCTGCCTATAGATGTGCGCTGTGGCAGCGACTGCGTCTGTATTCGTTACCGGTCGCCGGCTACTTATCTTACGGTTGGGGGTTGTACACAATTCCAATTTGTGAATGTGCAAGAAATGTCCATCATAACTCAATTAAAAGCGAATATTATCAATGTATCGGTTTTAAATTTAAGTTAGACTTTTCAATTCGGCTGTCGCGAGGTGATCGTTAACGCTTGCGTAAAATAATAATGATTATTTTATTGCATAAAATAATATCAATTATTCATTTGTCTATTGTTTTTATAACTAATTTGTTACATTTTCACGCAAATGTCGTCGCAAGCTGCCTTGCGACGACCGAATTGAGAAATTTGACTCAAACCTAAACCCCACATATATAAATACGTTGCTTTACGAGGCCTTTAAGCTCGCTCGATACTCATTTACAAACAGAAGATAAGTGATCGGCTTTCAGTAACCAATACTGATGCGTATGCTGTGACAGACGCATAAGTATAGACAGAATTGACTGTAGTGGTATCGGCCCTTTTTCGCGAACATCTCGCAAACTAAGGCCAACCGTCGGTTATATGTATAAAAAAAATTCTTCAAAATGTTTATATCTATAATATGTTTAAAAATCATCAAAATCAGGGGGTAGTTAACCTTTCTACAGTTTCCAATTCAGATTTTACCAGGTTAATTTAAAAACATATTTTTTTTACAAATTTATAACATTTAGGCACTTCGAAATCCATACATACTCCTCCTGTTTGATTTTGTGATTAGATATAGGGTTATGAAGATAAAATTATGAAATTTTAAGTGAAACTAATTTTGTTTTAATTTCTCATTGTTTTTAAAATAAATAAATTTGCAAACATGTTTTCCTCGCCAGCCGTGAGGTGGCTGGTAACCAATTCTAACACACACGTTGAAACGAAAGCACAATTATAGGCAGAATTTAAGAATCGTGGATACTTGGAAAGTAAAACCTACGGTCGGTTATATGTATAGGAGCAAATTGTCCAAAAGGTAGAGCTTTACAACATATTTAAAAATTGTGGAAATTGGAGAGAAGGTAGCTCTTCAGAAATTTCATCTAGTTCTGTATTTTATTTTTATTTTAATTTTTAAATATTTATTCTTTTTTTATTGCACCAATTAAAAATGACATTTTGTCTACTTTATGATGGTTACAAAATCATCGCTTGAAATATTTACACAGGCGTTTGCCAAATTCTTCATCATGGTAGCCTGATTTTCCTCCAAACCAATGTTTTACTGGTTATCATTCCGTTTTAATATGTTAGGTGTGAGCCCCATCTGGTGCTGTAATAAAAGAATTGCGTATAACACTTTTTCCCTTCACATTAACTTTACCGGCTATCGGCAGGGAATTTAATCTATCCTAACTTAAAGCTAATTTGTTTTCTATTTTTACAATTCACTAGTATGTTCACAGATTCAATCTATGTACAAATTCAATAGTGTGATTAAGAGTTTTATGTATATAGCACTCTGTTGCTAACCTACTGCAACTTTTAAAACTATTGGTATGTATCTCTGAATCAATGGTAACATATTCTTTAATAACAAAGATGAGACTTAATAACATTGATGATTAATCCAGCAATCAACTGTATGTGTATCGATGATTCCAAGCAGCCAGTGCCCGCAAATCATGCTTCCTCGATTATACTTTCTTTCGCCAGGTTTGATTTCGTCAATCTAATTAATAAATGAGGACATAAAATTTTTGAAATGTATAAAAGATAAGTAATAAAGGTGAAAGGAACTTGAAGTATTAGCGTACATTAATAACCAGATTCTACTTAGTTGTAGACAACTCACAATTAATAGTTTACAACTCATAACAGCTTGACAACTCAACTCTCGACTCCTCACAACTCGACTCTTAGTTAACGACTCCTCACATCTCGACTCTCAACTTACGACTGTCTGTTAATTCGTCCTTCTTAAGCATCCCTTTGTCTTCTCTCATAGCCCCAGCACGCACGTGTTCCGTAACCGTCCGCGGTCATAGTCACGTAGGGCTTCTCCCGCGTAACTATTCGACTGAAGGACCGATGACACATTGATGGGCTGCTCGGTTCATTGAAGTTTCCAGACCCTTTTGTCCTGTCGATATTTAGGTTTTCTCGCAACATTGTTTATGATTCACCCGATTATTTCTTAGGCAATTTGTCCACGTTACTACAATATTAAAGCTGATTATTTATCAAATATCAGGATAACTAGAAGAATAAACTATCTGTTAGTGCAAAACATGCAATAACATCAGTTAATCGTAGATTAGAGACTTTGAACCTTTTAACGAGTAAACGCCTTTCGCACGTGACTAGAGGTTTGTACTTTAACTGGCATTATTAATGCAGAGCACATCGAATCGCGCGTTACGGACATGAATATTCAATTTTGAAAGTGAATGCAGTATTTGAAGCTGAGTTTGTGTTACGAAATGAAATCTCGGTGAAGAGTTTCAGCACACGGAAACATGAACTATACAGATCATTCGATTTATATAAGTGTTATTTGAGAGACATTACAAGAGGAGTTTCAAGAACGAGACAGCACTTGGGCTCTTTCAAAGATATTGCACTTGTTAATAAATTGCAACAAGCATCAACCTGTTCGTGCAGGTTGCAACCTTTCCTTACCTTGGACAGTACAATTTCAAAGATCAGTTATCAATATCAAATGTGACGATGACGCATGTTTCTTTTGGTCTGTCGTTGCGGACCTTTGTCCAATTAGCGAACATTCATACCGACAGGTATCGTACCCACCTGCTCTAACATACTCTGTACTGACAGTATTCAACTGCCCATGTCGCTGAATGAAATTAGCAAATTTAAGAAACGCAACGATATATCTATAAACGTTTACAGATAGGAAAATGAAGCGTTTCATCTAACTGCGCAAAAAAGGAAGCATGTCAATTTGCTATTTATTGAAGATTATCTTGCTTGCATATAATTTGCTATGTATCAATGCAAATTAGCGCTAACTGATGTAAATAATATGTCATATCATCGCGAGGTACCATAACATTTATTCTCTCTTTCTTTAGTTACCTTCACTGTTTTATCTCGCAAAAAAAATTAGACATCTATATTACCAATTGCGAGCGAATAACCTTTCTATCCCAGCCACGAGGAGAAATGGCGGAATAAAAAATTGGTTATGCTATGACTGCTATATTATCAACAAACTCGATATGTCATCAACTATCGTTATTTGTCGCAGTGTTTAAAACACGAGATTGAAATTGGAAAATGTACATCGTATTCTTGAGTTTCAACAATCGCGATGATTGCGGGATTACATCGATTTAAGTACCAGGATTCATACGAACGCTGCAAGGGATTTTTCGAAAGATTTGTTTAAATTAATGAATAACGTGATTCTTGATAAAACGATGGGCAATTTGCGTAACCATACGGACGTGAAGTTAGTCACGCGTTGAGACCATGCTGAATGACTGATTGCCAGACCGAATTTCCATAGTCCTTGAGTGTTTGCGGAGTTAAATAAAGCGTTAAATTCAACAAACCTCTGTACGTGAGAATGTGTATCTTGAATATATTCAAAACGTGTCGAATTTGACGTAATGTATCGTGGAAAAATGAATTAATAAAATTAAGGATGTATATAGGTAGATATGCATCTAACATACATTCAAACGTTTACATTTGCATTAAAACATCTACATTTAAACACGTATATGTACATTTATATAGACATCATCTATATACATCTTTAATTTTAGTAACCTGTGTGTACATTCTTTGCTGTTATCGATATACCACAGATGTACATATACAACATCAATTTTGTGGATATTGCTAAAAAGATAAAGACACGGAGTAGTAATAAGTCTCTTTACTTAAATTAAAGTATATACTTTTTGTTTATCCATGAGTTATGAGAAGTATCAGATCCTAATCATTACATACATTTTGTTTCCTTTCTTGCATAACCTTGTTCAGTAGATGTATGTTAGCGACAATGCACCTCCGTGTCGATATGACAGATAGCCCGTTGCTATTTAAGATCATTTTATTTCTGTGTTATTAGCTTCTCTGCAGATTCTTTCTTTTTTATTTAATTTGCACTTTACAATTTGTCCAGCTGGACATTCGGTAAATTTTTCTAGCTATTCTTTGTAGATGGGCACATATAGAAAGTACGAAGGCTAACTGCCATTATCATATTGGCAACTAAGTGACTGCTGATTTTGTCATTAGGTGGTAATAACAAAATCCGCAATCACTTAGTTGCCAACCCAATAGAATCACATTCTTTTTTATCTGCAGTATTAGGACATAACTAAATGTTTCTTTAATGTAGATGTTTTAATATGTGTACATACGTGCATCTGTTAATACAATTTTTATTGGTACTATCCTACCGATAATTCCTTTGACATTTGAATATAATTTGTATTATTTAGACTTCAATTTCTTCATACATTTTTGCTCTGCATAAATAAAATCTTTATTATCTTTCAAATTCTGGAACAATATTTATTAGTTATTAGACGTAGAAACAAATACCGTGCAATTGCTAGCTAACAGTAAAAAATGTAAATGATGTATATCATTACGCAAAAAACGCCAGTTGATGTAAGATATCTTTTTTTTAGAATTCTTTGGCGACAATCTGTTCCTAGAAGCAAGAAAAGTAAAAAGTAAATGGAATAACGTTGAATCCAAATGTATTAATTTGCATGATTGTATTGCTTTTTGCAAATTGCGCAAGCTTTTTTATCGTTAACCATCCAAGAGGAGTATGTTTTATTTCGAGTAGGAAGTGAGATACTGCACACTCTACGACACGTTGCGTGTGATGATAGTTACCCACTAACCATCAGTGATAATCTCCCTTGGTTGATTATTTGTACATGCTATTTGTATAAGAATTCAGCGCGGATTAAAATCGACTTTTGCTGGTTTCGTCTAAGAAATATCTACACTCGAACTCAATAACGGCATCGATCATTGCCTCAAGGGAAAGAAATTGGTATGGACCGAAATTATTATCATCGAATTTTACTTTTTGATTCAGAAATGAACGCTTCATTTTCAAAAGTTTAGTGTATCCTCTAAAATCGAAAACTAAGGTTTTCCATAGCTAAATATGACAATGATGAATAACTTGCTTTAATAATTAATTTGCCAATTAATTAATAAATTATTGACTTAATTTCTAAATTTGAATTAAATACTAAAATTATATTAATAGATCTATTATTTTGAATACCAATTTGAAAACAAATTTCATGTAAAAAAAACAATTCGTTACATTTAAGTTAGAAATACAGATATTATATAAATATGCACATTTCAACCATTTTCTTAGTTTTCTAAAAAATTTTTTAAGTGAATAGTTCCTTTTGTGGTTTGTGCTATATAACACACGTTATGTAAATAGACAAATCAATGATATACTACATATGAAGTGCACAATTTCAGGTCATATTTCGTATCATATCATTGTTTATGCAGCTGCGAATCGATATTTTGCATTTTATCGAAACCAAAAATATTTCAAACTTCTTATTTTCATCGGCATCATAACTTTTCTAAAGATTTTATATTGTTCAACGGCGAGTGTAGTAATCATATGGTTGTAGTTGGAACATAACTTTCTAATTACGTATTTTATGTTAGCACGTCATCATATATTGTTTGCCTAAATTAGGGATATTTCTGTCAATCGCATTGTTTGAAGACCTTTGTCAGATCAAACTATTATTCAACCGTTATTTCATCCATTCATGAAAACGTGAAAATTATAAGTTTTTGTTAAAAAGTTTCCGGCATATTATAGTTTTTGAGAAAGTAAGACCTAACATGGAACACACCTAAGAATCAAATGTGAAAGACAAATGTAACAGAAGCATTGAATTTATGCAACTTTTCTACAATAATGAAACTTATTTATTTTTGGGGAAAATTGAAAATATCATTTCATATGTAGCAACCTCATATGTAAATTTAATGCTTTAGTGTACCGTTGGCAATTAAACATTGTAGTGTTAATAATTTGATAACAATAATTAAAAAATATTTGAAAAATAACGTTTATTCCTTTCTTAACATATATAACTCATGACGTGCCTTCATTTTTTTAGTCCTTAGATTAATACTTATTGCAATAGCTAATACTTACTAATTGCAGCTTAACATTCCTTCAAGGAACTTAAGTAATTTAATCACATTTCCAAAATGTTTAATCACTGTTTGCTTTTTGCTTTGGTTCACTTCAATTGTTATGTTTTTCCAAAAGGAGGAGTTAAATCTATCTCTAAAAAGAAAATAGTGTGAGTTGAAGTTTAATTAAAAGATGTTGAAGATGAGTGGAATGTAATAATAATGTACATGTAAACCTGTATATTTTGAGCATACGCGGTAATCGTATAATAGGGTATTACTTCAATTATTGAACTCATGTTACTAAAAGTAAAAATCTAGGGGGCCTGTGTTAGTTTAGGCCTTCTAAAATTTTCTAAATTTTAACATTTTCAAAAGCTCTATGTGATCACATAAATCTCAGATTTTTGATTTCAGGCAAATATTTTTTCGTTTTCATCTCGCAATCGTTAGAGAATTGCCTTCCTTGCCTTCGTTAGAAATTTCTTTATCTAAAAAGTTCGTCAAAGAGAAGTGTTCGCCTAATGGAGGGTGCATGTCAAGATTGCAGTGAATATGTTAGTTTTTTATTTTTAATAATATGAGTTGAATAATTATTATTACATTCAAGTACTTCATCTCGAAGATGGTATCCCGCTGGGAGTAGCCATCCACATGTTATTTAGCAATAAAGTTAGAAAAAATTACCAAATGTTCAGCTGGACAAATTGTACAAATTAAAGTACAAATTAAATAAATAAATATAAAAAAGTATTTGTAAAAAGTAATGATAATACTGTTTAAGAAATTTTTTTTCTTTCTAGCATATTTTTAAACAAAAGCCTTTTCTTTTTAATTGTGTTAATTTTTTGTTGGGATCTCACTTAGAGCAAAGGGAAAACGAAGTGTAATTATATCACCATTTTCATTTAGATTATCATTACTTTCGTTGTTTTCATTTTCATTTTTATCGCCATCCATTGCAGATATTAATAATAACCGAAATACATTTTTCATTTCTTTAGCAGAAGTAAAAACGTACATAAGTTAATTTATATTTGTTTATTTAATATTTGTTTTTCTTTTCTGTCCGATATTGTCCGAAGAATTAAACGTACTACTGGAAAATGTTCAGAAAATTCAAATCCTGCTGTAATTAAACATTAACAACGTAACGAATTCTGATAGATGACGAAGCTCATAAAAACAGAACAACATCAACAATACTTTATATTAAATTTTAATTAAATACGATAGACAAAAATAACTAATTTCTTATTTTGTATTGTCTTATTACTTTGTTTTGAATATTTTACATTAGTTTTAATACATCATTTATTAAGTATTTCAATTTCCATAGTTTTAAAAGAAAATGTTAACAGTTCTTCTTCTTACATTTTAGTCAATTGACAACGTGGGCGAAAGACTGCGTATTTTCTTTAATTGCTTTGCGACCAGTGGATGTAAAAAAAAATATTTTAGGATGAATAAAGAGGGTTCTCCGCAGATCATTGAACCTACCTACTCGCATGTCTTCAACTTCGAAAAAAACTACTTTTATTCAGACACTCAAAAATGGATCCAGAATAATTTTCAGTATTGCTACTACTGCTGTATTATTTACGTGATCCTAATTTTTGGCGGCAAGTACTACATGTCGAGTAGACCAAAGTTTGACTTGAAGCGTCCGCTTGCATTATGGAGTGGATTCTTTGCAGTGTTCTCCATTATCGGATTTTGTAGAACAGCACCGGAAATGTTCTCTACATTGAGACACCATGGGTTTTACCATAGTATTTGCATACCTAGGTAATGCTACTTTCATATTTTTACCTTGTAATATATTTTCAGGTGAGTGGCGATTTTAAAAAATAATTATTAATGAAACATTATTAATGAAATGAATTGTTATATGAAATAATTCCTTATGCTTGGTATTTAGTGAATATTGATATGTGGAAAGCGTTAGTAAAATAGGAAATACATTTTTAATAGTTGTTTACGATATTATTCTTATAATAATTCTCTAAAAAGATTTCACGTATAAATTTGTATCTGAAATGAGTTTTATCTATTGATACAATCAGTTATGTCTACCAATTCGCAACATATCGACCTATACTAAACACATTGTATGATTATATTTCCAAATCAAAATAACAAAGTTCTTATCGTTTCATTGTATGGAACATAATACATGGCTTTGATTTAAATGTCATATTCACAAAATGAATCGATATTTTAAATATGTTAATCTATAATATACGATAAGAATGGAATTATTTTCTTTTCAGCAACCTTTTGCAAGATCATGTTTCTGGCTTTTGGACATGGGTATTTGTCCTATCAAAGATCCCAGAATTTGGTGATACGATCTTCATTGTGTTACGAAAGCAACCATTGATATTTCTACATTTTTACCATCATTTAACTGTTGTTCTTTTCTCTTGGTTCACATATGCGGAGACTACAGCACTCTCAAGGTGGTATACCGTAATGAACTACTTTGTTCATTCCTGGATGTATTCTTATTATACCTTAAAAGCAATGCAATATAAATTACCAAAAGGTTTTGCCATGATGATTACTACGATGCAGCTGGTACAAATGGTGATTGGTTGCGTTGCAACTATTGTGGCTTACTATTATCCAGAAATTCGTGGACTTGAATGCTACATTACGCGTAAAAATGTTATATTTGGTTTCGCCATCTACTTCAGTTATTTAATCCTATTTGGAAAATTCTTCTTCAAGGCTTATCTTTCCGAAAAACGAAAAAACAAAGTCGGAGAGAACGTTCACGTCGATGGAAGAAAGGAGTATTATAAACCAAAGACTAGCTAAAGTATATCAAAGTTTTTGAAATCTTTCTCTATAAACGCTTTCTGATAACGATTCGTGAAAACACTTATAACGTATTTTGGGAGTCTGCATTAGTTTACAACAATAGAAATTGGTTGTGACATAATGCAAGTGATAAGATATTTATTTATTGTAAAACATTTAGTGTATTTGATGTTAAGGTATGTATGTTGTGTATGTATGTTAAGGTATGGGATACGATGGTTTTCAAAAAAGTTGCTCGTGAAGAAGTTAGAATACATGGAAAATCAAGAGCGAAATTTCGTTAAGCATATCTTCGAAATATTTTTAGGTAACATTAGTAAGAAAAATGGATTCACAAAAAATAAGATACGTTCAGATATATGATTTTAACTGTATTTTTGTTTGCCGAATAAATTTATTCTTAAATACGGTAAGGAGATGTTTTAATAACAAACAGTTTAGTATTTCATGTAATCGATAATTGATGACTTCTTGGAATTTTTGACTTAACCGACACTCTGATTAAATGTCCAATAATATTAAAGGCTATTACGACGCTTGCTCTAATATTGTCATTATACTCATGGAAAATCTCTGATCGTAAAATAAATACGGAATGAACAACAGTGCATATCAATGCATAAACATTGTGAAAAAAGCTTTGTTAATTAAAGAACAAAATTCAGTGTGTCTATGTATGTAGTGTAATCGTAATCCGTGGCTATACAAGGAAAAAGGAAATTAATAAAAGCAGAAAGAAAGTTTATGTTTTCGACTCCCCTTTCACCATCCGTACAAACTTTTAGAACGCAAACAGTCTCACAAAACTGATTATCTATTTCGTTTATTTCTAAACTATTGTATTATATCGCATAATTTGTTTCTGAACAATATTTTGTGCAAATTGTTATATACTAATTGGCCCAGTGATCTAGCTGGGTGGCTTACCTAAATGGGATTGTCTAAATACCTTCCTTATTTATGGAACAACTTCACAGGGCAAAGTTACACAACTGAAGAGGCACTACAATGGCGAAAAGAATATTTCCTTAAATTAATTTCTTTTTCCTAGAATTTCAAGGACGTCGGTATATTTTTAAACAGAAGCCTATGTTTCTTTACCCATTCATTAATGCATTTCTTTTATTTTCTATATAATAGATGATAAGATACTTTTGTCTAAAAATGCATGGTTTAAAAGACATTTTATTCTGAATTTAGTAAAGCTTGGCGTATGAAGAACGAGGGAAGACACCAAGTATTGTGTTGACAACTAAGTGATTGCGGATTTTCTCAATACCACCTAATAGCAAAATCCACAATCACTCAGTTACTAACCTAATAGTACACTTATATTTATATTTTCTTTGCTTTTCATACAGTACATTTTTTGAAATTAAGATTATAATGTTTTTTTAAATAAGCTTTTTTCGACTTACGTATCCTAATTCGGCTTTCGTACAGAGAATAAAAAATCACATCATTAGTATATAAAAACATATAGAGTTCTGCAAAAAACACAATTTTGGAATATCGATTACAGCGTACTGTCGTTTAAATATTTAATATTCTTGAAGAAAGCCCGATTAAAAATATACAATGATAATTCTTGATTGTTGTCAATTATAGACGACGAATAATTTTATTCGAGTGGTACAAGATGGAAATTATTGAAGAAGAGAATGTTATAATGTCCAAGACTCTCACCTTGCTTATGTGTATTGTCGATCGCACTAAACTGTCTAAATATAATTGTTTGAAGACTGACTTCTTCAAACTACTGTCTCCTCTAAGTACGCTCATTTATACTAAAAACTATTATGGAATAATTGTCACGCGACGGTTTATTCCACGAATACGCGGACTTTCTGCGCGTAATTATTTCTGTGGGTTCTGCAATCTTCGTTTTTACTGGTGTTCTTCCAACAGTGTTAAGATTTCTTTCCTTCGTTGATGTGGTTCTCGTGAAAATGTTTTTAAAGTGTAGGATCTTTACTACAATTAGTTTATTTACAATAAATGGATTAAACAGATGTTGATTAAACAGGAAACGATGGTTGTTTAACGTGAACAATAACGTATTATAATTAAGACAATTAGATAATTAATTTGCAACTCTCGTCACCACGGATTTGTCACATAAACTTGAGGATTGGATGATAAAATAAAGTAGCTGAGTCGTCACACGACTATTAATTTTGTCTTAATTAAACTTTATTATGAATTCAGCAATCACAATGTAATACATACTGAATTAACATAAATCACAATTCACTCCAACCACGTTATGTAAAACTTAGTTACACTGATACGTTAAGTACGAGATTGTTATAAGGGTAGAGACTGGTAAAGATATGTTGACTATTCTAAGGATACAGAATAAGTGAAGTGTTGCTAACGATACTGTGTCTGAGGAAGCTAGGGGTGGGTGTGTCTAAGGACACGGGACTATCGGATTTGTTGATGACAGTTTTGGTTAAGGAAGTGAGGGTAGTAGACACCGTCTCCGATTGGATAATAAGACGGTTAGTGGACCAGGAAAGGTTTTAGCCGCCCTCGCGAGAAAGTTGCTAACCATACCAGACGCGGTTGGAACATACTAGACGCGAGGAAAACCAACTTTCCGTGTAAACCCGTAGTAAACAATAAACGTAAAAGGAAATCTAAGACAAGAGATACTCGCTTGGTCTGAAGGACCTTAACTATGAATATTCCAGGACCCCTGGTGGGTACTTAAGACTATTGAGGGTACGCGCCAAGAAGGTGCAGACATCTGGGTGCCATCCTACCCGCGGTGTGTGGCCTGGTCTCTGATGTGAATTGACGTTACAGATTCAACGCTATGCCTCTTAGAAAGCCCTTATCTTTTGTCTTAGCCCCACCACGCATATGTTCAGCAACCGCTTGCTTATAATTCGCCCGACAGCCACCAGAACCCTCGTCCACGATACTACAGAAGTTTTCTTTTTTTTTAACACTAGATTTACGGGACCCGTCAATTTGACGGATTTCAAACTTCGAAATGAAATACCCTAAAAACCATAGAATTAATTTTAACGCAAAGAATTTAAACACACAATTATTTTTTCCTAAGCTTTCTAATTTTTGAAATTTGTATGTTGTATACCTATCTCTACGAAACCCGTCAAATTGACGGGCTAGCTGATTTCATAAACAATTTTTATATGTTTGCTTCGTTCGTAAAATCATTCCTCCAATAATAAATATAAGAATGAAAGAAAAGTTGTGTTCAACGAAATTGCTTATGCCTATTCCCGAAGAAACCCCTAAAGCAAGAGACGATCTTCAGTATAATTGCTGTAGTGACAGTGTAAGAACGTTTTTCAAAGACAGTCTGCAAAAGTTTGAGTTATTGTGGACAGTCTCCGCTTATTGTAAGTATTTACAATAGGGTAATTGAATTTAAGCACAGTAGTTTTTCTATTTTGACCAATCCCCCTTTTCTAGCAATCATGAGTAAATCATGAGTATCCAGGAGATATAATAAGGTTGTTACGCCGGGCGACTGTCTGTCTGGCCCAGGTCACACACCGCGGGCCAGACGGACACCAGATGTCCGCTCTTCCGTACGGCGTACCCTCAATAGCCTTAAGCACCCGTCATAAACCCAAGTCACTTGCCTGCTAAGGTCCTTCAGACCCAACAAATGTCTTTTCTAAATCAGTTTCCAAAGACTATTGTTTACTACGGCTTGACACGGGAAAGTTAGTTTTTCTCACGTACGATGCTTCCTACTAGCAACTTTCTATCGAGGGCGGTTAAGACCCTTCCTAGTCCACCAACCTTCGTTTGTCCAATGCGAGGCAATGTGTACTGTCCTCACTTCCTGACCTAAAATGGCACGAACAAATCCGATGATCCCGTGCGCTAGACACACCCATCACTAGCTTTCCTCCGACACAGCATCGTCATTCAACTTCACTTCTTCTACATCGTTGGAAAAGTCAACTACTAAGTCTAATGCCTATCTAGTCTAAAACTAATGCCTATTGGGGCAGTCTAAGCATAACGCGAGAGTCGGTCTCGGTATTGTCGAGCATACATTTCCTCTCCTAAATATTTTATAGTGCTACGTCCACTAACACATTACCTAAATATCTTATAGTGCTACGTCCACTAATACATTAAATCCAATTATAAGAGCCCTGCTCTAACGTACATATCTATCTTATCTTCGTGCGATAAGTGCGATCTATCTATCTATGCTCATCAGTGTAATCTAAGTGTTGGAAATATATAATTTATAATTCCGTGAATCACAATGTTATACAAACTCAATCACCCCTATTATCTCAACGGAAATCAGGGGATCGATCAAGTCGTGGTGTCGATTCTTATAATCGTAACGGGAATTTATGACTCCCGTTGACGTTTCTCCTAGCGACTACGTCTCCCCGCGATTGGTTGAACAAATAGAGGGGGTGAGCAACAAGACGTTTGTGCGTAATGGGGTGATAATATCCTCACTGAACAAGAAAAAGTAAGTGGAGGATATAATAGGAAGTATGCGAGAAACGAAAAGTACGGTAGTAATCGTTGAATTTATCCGGTATTGGCGACCTCGGATAAAGTCAAATAAACATCTAGATAAGACCCCATCGACTATAATGGCAGATTCACGCGTCACGGTAATTAGTCGTTTATATACATACGCGTTAGAGGATAACTGCAAATAAATGAATAATAATGTGAGCATGTACGGTCGATTCGAAGTAAGTTCCTATTTTTAAGGAATAAAGTCGGGCCGGCCATTTGGCCATTATTTGGCCATTTGTTTATTGTGACACGAGCCGAACTATGTGCCTTGGAATAAATAAATAAGTAATGGGGTGCCGAGTAATGGGGCGGCTGTGGGAGTTACGTGGTGATTAGTAGATTGTAGTATGTAGCGGTTGGATGTATGCACCGCTATAATGTTATAATATTTTACTATTTTATTTATTCTTTTAGTTTATGATATTTATTTATTTATAGTTTTGTATTGATTATCTAGTAATTGTTTTATTCGATTTATGTATTTATTATTTATTATTTATTTATTGATTTATGGTATTTATTACTTATTGTTCATTATTTATTATATATTGTTGTTATTTATCTATATTGTGGGGTTCTGGGCGCGCATCATCGGGTTTTTAGCAGTATGCAGGTGTTTGACAGCGGAAACTTAGATAGCACAATTACTGTAAATATTATCATGGTTTGGCTTATTTGGTGACGACCTGGCGAGTTTATGGACGATGATTGAATACTTTTCGACGGTATATGGGCAGGATGTTGACGACTTGGCGATGTTTATTTTTTTTTTTATTCATTTATTAAAATTACAATCAATTCTCGCGTTGAGAATTTTCAGTAATTTTTCTGACGTGGCGCAATGACATGGCTGATTATTTATAATTAGTTAATACTTGTTATAGATAAGTCTAATTTATAAGTAAGTATTATAAATAAGTAAATATTACTTAATTTAGATAACTAATTGTATCTAGCGTTTAGGTCTAGCGGGTAGTGCCTCTTCAGCCTGCGAATCTGGTCCGTCGTATCAAGTAGTCCAGTGATTAGGTGGTTTCGGTGTTTGTTGACTCTTTTGCTATATCTGTCGCTATATTTTGCTATTTCCTCTTTGACTGTGGGTATCTTGAGGTCG